TGATCAGACCAGAAGTGTCCCGTCCAGTGAGTTGGTCTTTGACGAGAGGAACGACAGAGACTCTTGACGTGGTGCCGGATTCTCAGTCGGAGGAGAGGAAGACAGTAGTAGGATAAACTTGGACAGACGACGTAAGCTGTTTCCACTTAGTAGTCTAGGAGCGTATGCGTGAGAGAGGTTCCTTGATCACCTCACAAACGACTCACCCGAGAACGTGAAAGGGAGCAAGTGGAGTATGGAGAGTTATCTGGCCATTACAGATGCGTGCTACCAATGAACCTCATCCTCTAGGCTCAGGACCTGGGAACAAGTCATATTAAGATGTCCGACACAGGCGAGCTCCCGAGCAAGAAGCGCAGGGCCAGGGAGAAGAGGAACATTCGGGTGATATTTGAGCGGCACCTAGCTAGAACAGTACATCCAGGCTACCAAAAAGTCATACTGGTAGACGATGCGACCCTGCTGTGGTGTGAATCAAAGACACGAAGCGCCCAAGACACGCGCGACATACCTCTGACCGGTCCAAGCAGCGTGCGTAGAGACGAACAAGATCGACTGTAGAGAGCCAACCTACAGCAACGAGTAGTGGAGTATCGAGTTGGACAAAACTGTTCTCCTGACTTGACTAAAAAAGAAAGCCCCTTTTCTAACTTTCTAACAGGGTGAGAACTAGATTGTTAGTTGTCCAGACATCAAAGGGGCTGTAGCCTGTCGATCCTTAGACAACACGGGGTCTATTGATATAGACAGTTATACCTTTCAGCAAAACGATGTCTGGGCGACGACGTAGCTACGTGCGAATGCATTGTAGTCCTCTTACAGTCGACTAGGTCTTTTGTCGCCGTCCAAGCACCAGGTCCACTTAGGGTGAGTTTACTGTGACACATGACGCTTGGTACGAACGTCTTACCTAGTCCGGGAAAGTATGGTAGTCACTGTACCAATCTGACATGTGGGGTATGCACGTTAGGCGAGACGCAGTCGGTTTGTCGCGACGAAGCGGCGTCCGAGAGTCAAGTGTAGTCGTTTTTTGTGACACCCAAACATAGGACCGAGTGTTTTACGACCGACCAGACGGTAACGTAGTCACTGTCGTCTATGAGACGTGTAGAAGGCTACGTCCGACTTTTGAGCATAGACAGATGAGGTGAAGCTGCATCTTAATGATGTGTGTCGTGAGATATATGATTATTTCCTGCCCGAATGATTTCGGTCAACTCATCGTGAGCTTTACAAACCCGAGATAACTTTGGACTACACTGAATATACTAAGACAAAAAAAGTTCCAACATAGAGGACCAGCTTACATGAATAACATTCAGCGAAAACCTTTTTCACAGTCGATTTCACATACATTACAGGGAAAAATAACTGCTCTACGTCCCAACATGTGCCCTCCAACAAGGTGACACGTTCCAAACAGTGAACTTGTGTCAAACGACCAGGTTAACAAAGGGAGAGGAAGGGGTTCACCTTGTCGTAGGGAAAAACGAAAAGGGAACGTAGACAAAAGTCTGTCCAAATATGAAAAAAGAGACTCGCCAACAACATACCCCACGACTTTCAATGAAGCTGAAAGAAAAGACCGTAAATTGAAGCGAAGGAGTACAGAGGAGGAACACTGTCTCCTTCACAGAGACCAGGCGGAGTCCTAACGAAAACGAGGAAGTCGCATACAAAAAAACTTCCTACGTGGACAAAATAGTAATAACGGTTGCGGGAACTAAGAAGGTAGGTCTTTGAAGAACGACATCGACCTCTATTCGAGGACGAGGAAGACACGTTAAGAACTACTTTCCTAGTGAAACCAACAAACACGCCTTGGTCAAGAGATGTGTGTCGTAAATGACAGTGGTCCAAAACGGTTCTAGAAATTCGTAGTTGAAGGTTCTCCGTGTCACGGTCGCATTACCTCTTAATAAAGGTGTTCACAGAGTGTTATTACTCCTAAAACCGACCGTACGAGGCAAACGCAGTAGGAGGGAAGGACGAAGGAGGACACGAACACACTGGTGGAGAAACTATCCCTCCGTTTCTTTCCCCGCTACTAAACACTCTCGAGACACGTACGAGACAAGTTTTAGTTCGTCCACACCGACCCCAGAAGTAGAAGTAAAATCGATCCTTTAACTATAGAAAGACTAAGACACGAGGTATACCGGAGAGACGTCACGACTCTCTACAAAGAACGTGGGTAATCAAAGGTCAGCAAACTACTTTTTTGTACATGGTATGTGGAACTTTAACTGCTTATGGACCGGTTTATGTCATCGTAAACTTCCTCCCGCTTTTAGTCATGTTTTTTGTAAACCAAAACAGCAGGAAAGACCGTGAATTGGAACCTGTTGAAGTATGACTAGTTGAAGTGCGTAACACTCGTCCGGTGTCTCCACATAATGACAGTCGACGTGACTGACGACGGGAACCTTAGTTCTATTCCAAAATTCCATATTATGCCATATTCGCAAAATATCTTATTTACCAAAGTGTTTAGGACTTTGACACAAGTATCTCTCTTCTTAGAAATCGGAGGCACCCTTATAGGTCAGGTCTAAACTACTCAGACTCCAAGACATCCACCAGAATCTTCTGGACCAGACTTACATGCCAGAGTTTATTTTTTTTTTCGTCGTTTTTAGAAGGGAACAACAATAAAAGTGTTTATCTTATTCAACAAAAGTGTTTAGAACTGGTTGAAACAATATTTCTGTAGAAATCGGACGAGACCCTATTAGGTCAGAGGTCTAAACTACTCAGATCCAGAGCACCAAAATCTTAGTCTGGAAGATTACACAAAGATGTACATCTTTTTTTCCGTGGACTTTAGAGGGAAAAAACCATAAAAGTGTTTATCCTTATTTCCAAAGTAGTTTCAGACTTTAAACAGCAATATTTCTTAGAAATCGTAAGACCCTATTAGGGTCAGGTCTAAAACTACTCAGGATCCTAGACTCAACCAAAGTCTAAGTCCTGGACCAGGATGTACAACTTTTTTCCGTGACCTTTAGAGGCGCAAAAAACATAAAAGCTGTTACTACTCTTTTTCAAAGTGTTTCACGACGTTTGACACAATATTTCTTAGAAATCTGAAGACCCCTATTAGGATCAGGTCTAAACTACTAGATCCACGATCACCCAAATTAGTCCTGGAGCCAGATTACACCAGTCCTACGCTTTTTTTATACGTTGACTTTAGAGGGAACCAAACCATAAAAGTGTTTATCTTATTTTTCCAAAGTGTTTAGACTTTTGACACAATATTTATGTAGAAATCGAGGCGACCCTATTAGGTCAGGTCTAACAACTACGTCAGACTCAGAATCACCAAAATCTAGTCCTGACCGGTTACACCATCTATTTTTTTCCGTCGTTTAGAGGGAACAAACATAAAAGTGTTTATGCTTTATTTCCAAAGGTGCTTTAGACTTTGACACGAGTATTTCTTAGAAATCGGAGAGACCCTATTAGGTCAGAGGTCTAAACTACTCAGATCTAGATCACCAAAGACCTAGTCCTGGAACAGATACACCAGATGTAACAGCTTTTTTTCGTGACTTAAGAGGGAGAAAAACATAAAAGTGCTTTACTCTTATTTACCAAAGTGTTTTAGAGTTTGACCCAAGTATTTATTAGAAACTCCTGAGAGACCCCTATTAGGAGATCAAGGTTTATTTAGCCGATACCAGTCGCTAAATTCTCCAAGCTTTGTGCCTCTAACAAGCCGACGTCGCAGAGAACATTTAATTATACTAGGGAATTGAAAGGGGAATTGATGGCTTAGCCAGTACGATGACTTACCTTCGGTTTGAAGTCGTAGACACAGTCTGCTCTGTATATGGTGAATCGAGCACAACACAAGTTCCCTGGGACTGGAAACCGGTCCTTTTTCTCCGTGAGCGAACAAATTAAAACACGGCCAGATCTAAAGAAATTAAAAAAGAAAAAACGCAACAATATTTAATGGACGCTCACGGCATCGTTTACCAGAGCCGGCATATGCCGGGCCCCCGGCCTCCAAGGGGTGGGGGCGACGAAATTTATGTCTGACACCACCTAGTTCTTGTGTCAGTGGACCCTGCTTACCACTTAACCAAATATAAGAGTGTTACAATAATATCAAATAATTTACGTAAAATTACTCCTTGATAGGGAGTCACACACCACGTAACACAGGTCACACTCCCCCACTCTTTTTTTCGCCACGGCTAAAAGTAGGCCCTTCACTGACTCAAGTAGCACTGGTCCTGGACCGTTCTATTTGGTATACTTTGTTTATCCGGTCGTAGTACTCTTTCCCAGCATTGTATTCATGATGCAAAACCGACACTGGTTCCTTTCGTTTTTAACCATCCGTCAACCACGGTACCAACGATAAAGGGCTATGACCTTTATCGGGGGTCTAGTAGAACCTTTCGTTACTTCTTGAATAAAAGTAGTGGTGACTCAACAACACTTAGAAATGTTTCACAGCCCTTGTAATATTAAGAGTCTTCCGCTTGGTACGGGACTACTTACTCCTCCTTTATTACTAAACCTTTTGTTTTACACTTGCTCCTCCCCTCCGTCTACGTTCAGAAATTATAAACGAGGGGCCGAGAAGAACTAATAATACTACAAAAAGAATTGAGTCCTACCATCCGCCCCCTCCTCTCACAAACCTCCGACTTGTTTTCTTGTTCTCGCAAAAAAGGGGAGTCTCTTCCCTCAGGTCCTTTCCCTCCTCCTGGCTTGTTCCTTGAAGATATTTGGGTAAGAAGGTTGTCCGGGTACTTAATTGTACGTTGGTGGACAGAGGTTTGATTAACATCACAAGTCGTAGAACACCTCACACTCATTGTCCGTCGTTGTTCGGAGTTGCCCAAGACGGGTACAATCTCTTCTCTCGAAGGTCCGTCCGGGTACTTGGTGTGCTCTATGGGATGTCACACCTAAGACTCATGTGCTGGGCAAGAAACAAAGTCGACAATATTCATGATGTTATAACTAATTTATGGTCATACTGGAAATCGATTAATAAGGGGTGTATTGAGAAGAAGTAATGAACAAGACACGGTGTTCAGAGAGACTTAACAGAAGTTTTTTCACAGGGGTGGTGAAAACTGGTTTTTTAAAACACAATGTTATAAAATCGTATGTAACAACCACGTTATAAGGTTTTATCGAACGTGTGGTGTAGATGTTTGTCGTTTTTTACGTCAAAACACTCTTCAACTTGCATCGGTGCTATTTTTTTCGGTACGTACGTGACATTTATTTTTGACCTCTTTTTTTTTTTTAAAAGGAGTCGGTCATAGGGTCTTTGGCACGTTTGACTGCTACTATTGTGGGTATAATAATAAAAGAACAGAGATAATGTGCAGAAGGTTGTTCTGATGGAGATAACAGGAGAGTTGTTTAAAGACAGCGCGTTCAAGTGTTTTAGACAGGAACGGGAGGAGAGAGACAGGCCTGTAGTTTATAACATCAGACGGGTTGAGAGTGGGTTTCTTTAGGAGAGGGTTTACTCTTGCCTCCTTGAGACTGTTTGGAAAGTGACCAGAAGTTAGAGAAGTGTTGATTAAATGGGTGAGAAACGGTAGAATATCAGGAGCGATAGTCTGAAGGAGGTTTGAGGGGATAGGGTCCAGAGGACAGGTGGTAGGACGGGCAGAGGTAACGAGGGTAAGAACCTCACTTGGAGAGAGAGGGGAGAAGGAGGTTAGTGTGTTGGTGAAGGGCGGGTCTGGTGACCCAGCGGTGAGTAAAGGTTAGTCAGAAAAAGAAGAGCGAATATCATCAACCTTTTTTTCAAAGTGGTTAACAAAGTCGCTTGACAGAAGGGAGGAGGGGGAAGGGACTTTAGGGGGGTTCAAGAGGGTGGAGAAGATGGAAAAAAAAAAGTTTTTTGGGGTTGGAATAGGAAGATTGGATCTTATCTTGAAAGAAAGTGCTTTTTGCCTGAGAGATCGAAGGAGAGAAAGAGGAGAGGAGAGCCTGATAGGTTAGGAGGTCGTCATGGTGTTTGGATTTCCACCGTTTCCGCTCTGCTGCCTGAAGGATGGTTCTATTAGCACGCAGTGCGTCATTTAGCCAGGGAGCAGGAGGGGACTGACGAGCCTGCCGAGATGTGAGAGGACAGAGAGAGTCCAGAGAGGATGAGAAAGTAGAGAGGAGAGTTTCTGCAGCAGAGTTTGGAGGCAGGAGTTGGAACGAGTCAGAGAAAGGGAGGGCACCGATGAGGCAAAGGTAGAGGGGGAGAGGGAACGAAGGTTGCGGCGGACAGGTGCAGAATTAGAAGAGATTAGTTTGTTTTGTTTGGAAAGGGGTAGAGAGAATGAAATGAAGAAGTGATCGGATGTGTGAAGCGGGTTTACAGAGAGGTTAGAAGTAGTGCAGTTCCTTGAGAATATGAGATCAAGGACATTGCCAGCTTTATGAGTTGGTGGGGATGGAGACAGTGAGAAAGCAAAGGTGGTTAAAAGAGATGTTAGTTCAGATATCTTCCCTGTCTGGAGGTTGAAGTCTCCGGGAGGGCCAGTTTCAGGGATTTGTGAGAGGAAATTATCTTAATTCCTCCAAGAAGTCCCCCAAGGCGCCTGGTGGACGGTAGAGAACAACAATGGTTAATTGTATAGGATGGGTTACTGTGACGGTATGGAATTCAAAGGTGGACAGAGTGAAGTTAGGTAGCTTCAAAAAAGAAAAGAAAAGCTCCAGTTGGAAGAGAGCAGGAGACTAGTGCCACCTCCTTTGCCAGTGGGTCTGGGTGTGTTGGTGAAGGAATATGCTGTGGAGAGAGCTGCTGGGGTGGATGTGTTGGATGGAGTAATCCAGGTCTCAGTGAGAGCAAGGAAATCCAGAGACTGCAGGGAAGCGTAGCCAGAGATGAAGTCAGCTTTAGGAACAGCTGCCTGGCAGTTCCACAGGCCCCCTGAAACTAGATGTTGGATCTCAGTGGAGCATGTGGGATAGACGAGAGCAGGCCGGTTATATAGATTAGGAGATATACGGGGCCAGTGATAGTTGCGAGAAGACACATAAACAGGAATGGAGAAAATATACATGATTATAGCATGAGGGGCTAGAAAACAAAATAAAATAAAACACCAGCGATACTTAGCTCAATCTGAGTAGGATTTGCCTCCTCTTTGCCTCCCTCTTTGCCTCCCGCAGGACTCTAATGTCTTTGTCAGTCTTCGTCTGTCTGACGCTGGAGCTGAAGCTCCAGGAAAGTTAAAAATCACAATCAGATCAACTACAGAGCATTTATACAGAGTACACACACTGAAACAGAGAAGTCTAAAAACAGAATGTTACTCACACAATTCTAGAAGTCACCAGTTGTTATCCTGTCAAAATCAAGTTGCACACTTTTTACAGTTTTAACATGCCAAAAAGCTGCTGTGTCGTTTATTGCACCTCAAACATTAAAACAAATCCAGAGTTACGTGTTTCTGTACTAAGAAAGGACAGATCATAACGAACGTTATGTTTGTAGCTAAACTTAATTGAGAATGCAGTTTAGTTCTGTGGGAACGTAATTTGTATCTCTCATCAAAGATGGCAGAAAACATGCATTATTGTACTCTGGAGGGGAGATTGACAGGGGATTACTCAAAAAGTACAGAGTAAAAGTACTTGATTGTACTTGTGCTACTAGTCCAAGTAGTACTGAGTCCAACAGTACCAATTTCACTAAGAACTTATTGCACAATATCATTTTATCTCTCACCAAATATAGCAGAGTACATTAATTTGTGTACTCAGGACAGGAGTTTAAACGAGTATAACTCAAAAAGTACACAGTAAAAGTACTTGATTGTACTTTTGGTAGTAGTCCAAGTAGTACTCAATCCAACAGTACCAATTTTATTAAGAACTTATAGCAAACAATTATTTTATCTCTCATCAAAGATGGCAGAAAACATGCATTATTGTAATCAGGAGGGGAGTTTGACAGGGGATTACTCAAAAAGGACACAGTAAAAGTACTACTTGATTGTAGCATACTTGTGGTAGTATTCCAAGTAGTACAGCATCCAACAATACCAATTTCATTTAGAATTTATTGCAAAAAATCATTTTATCTCTCATCAAAATAGCAGAATACATTATTTTGTGTACTCAGGACAGGAGTTTAAACGAGTATTACTCAAAAAGTAGACAGTAAAAGTACTTGATTGTAGTCATGGTAGTAGTCCAAGTAGTACAGAATTCAACATAACCAATTTTATTAAGAACTTATTGCAAAAAATGATTGTATCTCTCATCAAAGAGGGCAGAGAACATGCATTATTGTACTCAGGAGGGGAGTTTGACAGGGGATTACTCAAAAAGTACACAGTAAAAGTACTTGATTGTAATTTTGGTAGTAGTCCAAGTAGTACTGAAACCAACAGTACCAATTTAATTAAGAACTTATTGCAAAAAATCATTTTATC